CCCCAAAACCCCAAAACCCCAAAACCCCAAAACCCCAGACATTTGATTTTTTATTGCAAATTTGTTATTTATAGTAATGGAGTCTAAATTAAGCCTACCTTCTTTTGGATGTGATACTAAGAATGCTATATGTAATATAGAGGAATCGAAGTTTACAAAGTTCAGGTTTGATGGTGACTCGCCCATAAGTGATAATTCGAGGTTCAGTGCTAATAGTAACATAAGAATGATGACTGAGCAGAAAGAAATCGACTATTTTCGAGCAGATTTACGAAGTACAGCTGTTGAAGAGCATGAGTCTGAAGAAGTTGATTATAAGAAAAGGCTTAAAACCCTCAAGGATTGTTTCAAAGGTAGCATCTTTTGTTTTACATTTTTCAGCGATTTTATTTGCAAATTCAAAATAATCATACGAATGATATGAATTAGTTTTTATTAACTTTCATCATAAAGCTAGAATTGAAGGTCTGACCATAAATTTAGGGACCGTATCAGAGAAGGGCCTCAGAACTGCCAATGTTACTAACTGCTATTACAGTTATATCTTAAACAATTTTATTTCCTGTTTCTTGGCCTATATAGGGATTGCTTTGTGAGTCCTAGATAATGAGTACTATATCCGGAATTCTGAAGACAAGAAAGATCGATACATATTATTAACAATCAATATGTTTGTCAACATCTTTTTAGCTATAAGCATAACATTTGGGTACAAAATATGGATCCAATTTACTAATCTTCTCAATCCTGTACTTCAGTTGGGAATTTCGAAGGGACAAGAGGAGTACCAGCAGAAAAGAATGAAGATGAAGTTGTTCTCCAGGCCAATCGTTTACTACTACCTGACTGAAATTGGTTTAACCCTTGCTTCTCCATATCAATGGCTATATGATATAGAATACCAATATAATGTTGGAAAAGATCAAATTAGATTTTATTTAAATACATTCTTACTAACTCTCATGATGATCTTCAGGACGTATCATTTTGTCAGAGCGATCTTACAGCTCTCATTATTCATGACTCCTCGTGCAGAGAGGATGACAAGAATTTTCTCTCCCAATAGTAATCAAAAGTCATAATAATTTAGGCAATTTAGTTCAAAGCCAGATTAGTCCGTACTTTTTCACTTTTCGATGAGAGTTTAAGTACAATTCTTTCAGAGTTATCATAATCTGCCTAACCTACACCTGTTTGGTGCTAGCGGTGATGTTTCGATTTGCTGAAGAGCCATACGCAAGACAAGTTGCACATTCAAGTTTCTCGTACCAAAACTCGGTATGGATTTGCTTCATCACCATGTCAACAGTTGGGTATGGAGAGCTATCCCCAGTTTCAATCCCTGGTAAACTTATCGCAACAGTGTGTGCATTTATGGGAGTGATCCTCCAGGCATCTTCTGTCATTGCAATGCTGAACCTCTTAGAAATGAATCATGCAGAGATGTTTAGTTATGGAATCCTTAAAATTTTAGAAGTTAAGGAAAAAGTCCTTTATAAAGCAGTCAGGATGCTTCAAGTAAAATTCAGGAGCAATAGGGTGAAACAGACACAGAAGAACATCAAGAAATACAATGTTATGTAATCGTATCTTAATTATTTTTAGGTGGAGAAAATAAAAGTAGACACTTTAAGTTTAGAACCCGGTAAGTTATTGCTTGAACCTGCTCAAATTTAAATAAAATTTAATTTAAACTCCATATTCATGAATATTTTAGGAGGCTATGGGCAGCAAGATGAGAAAACTCATCTCCAATGGATCAAACTGCTTATGATATTGCTTACTACAGAAATCAGTTGTTTAAGTCAACTGTGCTAAGCACTAAGCTTAAAGAATTTGTACTGAAATCACAAAAGGAAAAAGAAGATAAACTTAACGCTACACGGACAAAGAAGAGAAGCAATTTGATACTTTCTAAACCTCCAGAACCAGTGTCAGTAAATGACATAAAATGCGAGATGTTTAGTGAGAACAAGTTTGAAGTAATGGAGAAGGACTTCACTTTCAGAAATGCTAGCATTATATCTCACCAGAAGAATCTGTTTCGAAATCATGTCGACCATAATTAAGTCTCCTCCTTTCAGATAGAGTCCATAAAATGCTGAGGACGTGTTGATACCTTCTCTTCAGATATATGGGGATTAATCATATAATAAGTGAATCAAGTGGGCATTTATCTACAACCGATTCATAACTAATAATATATTTTCTAGTCCTCACTCCTCATGGGGTTTTGGGGTTTTGGGGTTTTGGGG